TATTTCCTCAGAAAATACTGTACTGTACTTGTATATTGTTTACTTGAGCAGAATATAACAGAGAATAAACTGCCCAAATACCCTTAAACAAAGGAAAAGTACGTCCTTTATGAAGGCATAGAGCCACTACATGAAAATGAAAATTAATGAATACACTGTGTACAGTAATTTACCTGATAAGACAGACCTCAGAAAAATACTTTATGAGAGCTTTTATACTTTTATAAAGCTGTCTATAATGAAAATTAATTAACTAAGGATTTTTTCGCCCTGCCAAGGTGTGGACCAGTTATCCGGAGTGCTAAGTTATCGAGGGACGAGTTTTCGAGGTTCTACTGTATTTCTTTCTCGTTTTTAGATAAATAAAAATTTATTGAAAAATTCTCTTTCCAGTACTTTATAGTTTAATGGTAATTAATGAGAGAATTGTTGATTTAAGCAATTTATTTGAAATTTACTAAATAAAACTTTATAAAACCCATCCCTACCTTCAAAATTAAGCTTTTTGCCATTTTATAATACTTAGTTAAAAATATAAAAAGTTTTTTAATAATGATAACAGATGGCACCACCAAATATTGCCGGAAAAGTTAAGCAACTCGTTGCTAGATTTTTACTAATAGAATTAATGAGACGACCGGATTGCCCAACGATTGAGGTAACAGCAAGGTCGAAAAACACCAGGAATTTTTTGGGTGTTGGTCCATCGCTCGTCACCCAAACCCATAATTGGCTTGATAAGATGTCCTCTTAGTGCCTGCAAGGCGAAGTTTAAGAATTGTTTAATTATTTAATTATTTGCATTAATTGTATTTTTTTTTTTATTGTTATGCTCAACTTTTTTTTTAGAAATTCTGGAGAAAATTTTTGAATTGAAATAATGTGACTTCTGGTCTGGACCAGAAGTTTGTATATATATATATATTCAGTTGGGCCTCCTACCCCTAAGCTTTCTACATCTGGTCTCGACCTTCATCTATTTGACTCCGTTCTCAAGATTAATGAAGGATGGACAGACACTGATGAATACCAGTGGGATCTTATATGTCTGCAATCTGAAAATTGCAGCCCAATAAATAAAATTGTGAGTGGCTCAATCTGTTAGGAGACTTTGTTATAAAAAAACATTTTTTTATAACATTTTTAATTACTATAAAATGACAAGACTAGATTTTGAGGGTAGGAATAAGTTTTGTAAAAAAAAAGTTGTAAATGTTAATAACAAATGACATCTTCATTTAAGTCCTTGAGATATGACCTTTCTCTACCAAAATTTAATAGCATCGATTCTAATTACACACAAAAAGCCGTGCCAAATTTTGTTTGTTTGTTTGTCATTGTTACCTCATCCCGAGACATTAAATAAAAGACACCCCACACGCATGAAATTGTGGCACTTTTGGGTTCGAGAGGTCTCAAAAATCTTCATGTGTTACGTTTAGACGAAGGAAAAGCAAATAAAATGACAACAGTGGGTTAGAGAAACGTGAAAGCTATTTTATTTAGGAAAACGAAAAAAAAAAAATGATATTTTATGTACACATATAGAAAATATTGCATGGCAGTAGATGTACAGTTTACTAATTTGTAAATGAGGAAATATAATTGCATTTAAATGTACAATTGCATACTATTACAGCCGTACAGCAGTACCGGGAGGATGACAGTAAATGGTGCAAACATATTATATAAATATAACGTGTGGACAAACGGTGAGTCATAACAGGCCTTATATAAAAAAAAAGTATTGGACCAAATGGAAACCGGTAGAAAATTTTTCGTTTCGATCAACGTTTGGAAATTGTTGGCCCCTGAACTGTCCGGTCTTCCTCGTTCTATTATTTACAGGTGTCCTCTTTGCCTTTCGTGTTTAAAACGGGCGCAGAAAACAATTCGCAACGGTGCTTATGACAATCCACACAATATTTCGAATTGTTTCCGACTTTACAAAAGTCTTAAACCTGTCGTGACGACGATAAATAAAGAAAATATAACTGACAGTGCCGACGAATTTAAAAGGAAGGGAAATCCGAGTAGACAAAGGCACTGTTTGGTCTCTTTAAATCACGTCACCTCACAATGCCCAAATTGATATATATTATATTCGTGTACACTTAACAAGTTCAAATGACAATAATATTGATTGCTTATAATTGTTGCTGGTCTATTTACGTTAATGAAAGTTTGAGTATTTATTATATATATATACAGTTTTCGTTCAATGGTTAAAATTATTATTATTATTATTATTCGAGCATAGAAGGTATTTAATCGGATATGATCTGGTTTGAGAGCGAATACAGTACAATAAACAATTGGAAGAGAGATTTCCTCTTCGCCCCCAACGTTTCGGTGTTTATAGATTCCGCAGAGTGGCGACAATGAATATTATTGCCATAACAATAACATGAACAAACTAAGTAAATCTATGTATATTTAAAAAAATTATATGAACAAATAAATAAATAAATATGTATGTATATATATATATATATATCTTTATATATTCTCTTTCGTGTATATTGAAATAAAGTCGACGGCGATTAAAACAATACTAACACTTTTCAATAAAATATATACATATTATCAACAATTTATAGGTACGTCGACTCGTAAAGTATAATATGAAACTCTTTATCAAATTTTATACGAGATAACTTATGAGTTTTTGATTACGTTGAATTTTTGCATCCGTTCTAATAATTTACCACACAAATTGGTTTGTAAATAACAAGTTTGGAGAGGATGGAGAGATCTCTGTTAATGTATTATAATAAAATCGTGTCTGCTAACGTTGCGCATTAGAATTAGTGGTGTGTTTATTTTGGAAGACAAATTTATTTAAAAAAGTAAAAAATGTGATATGTTTTTACCAATGGGTTATATACGTTACAAAATTAAGAATCGAATGTATCTGTTGCTTTTATTAAAGCAGTAAATATTGTAAAAGATTTTTTTTCTATAAAAGTTGATATGTAAATAAGTAATATAAAATAACAGTGAATCAAATCATATTATTATTGGAGATCTCTCCCACCCTCATTAAAATTTTTTATGTTTAAAATACTTCAACTTTTGAATAATGATATCCCTTTAAGAATATGGTCATTAAAAATTTTGATCTTTGATTAAAAGAGCAAATGTACTTCTTTAAAACATTAATAGTCAATACTTTTGATGAGATCAAAAACTCATAAGCTTTACTATTATACAGATATAATCTCCATCGTTGAAAATGAAATATTAAAAATTAGTACTTGAATTTATACATTTGTTATCGGTTGACGAAATGTAAAAGAAATAAGAAGTACATGATTATAAAATATAATGTAGCAAAGTCCTTCTTGACAGAAAGCACCGTGCTCCCTGTGAAAAATAGCAACATATATATATTCCTGGATGAGTTTTTTAAAATAAATACGGTGTGACTAGAGTTGTTACGATTGTCGTCGTTTCGTAGTTTGATTTGCGATGCGGGGTGGCACTTCTCTATTCCGATGCACGGTCTGCAAATACTTATGTAATAATACTGTTTCTTTAATGGGAAAAGTCGTTTTCTGTAATGCGTCGAAAGAGCCTGGAGCGTTTTCCTGAGATCGACCGCTTTCCGACCTTTCACCTCCACACCTTCAGATGCCGCAGCGACAGTTTTTTAAATTTGGCCACCGCGGATTGTCCGTCCTTGTCATCGTCCGATCCTATTTCGCCCTCGCTGTACACTTGTCTCTTGAGGAGTTTGAAGTCGTCGGAACTTCCTTCCCTCAAACCGAATTTTTCACTTTTACTTTTTGTCTTTTCGCTAGCGAAGGATGCGTGATCGTATGAAGATCGTTTTATTTCTGAAAAGAAGAATCTTTAAAATTTTAATTAAAATTATATAATATTGAATATTTTCATTATTATTAACCTCTGTGTTTGGAAGGACTTTTTATTTTCCCTAGTCTTCCTAAGGGAGAACTTCTACTAAGAGAGAGCCTCTTTTTTTCTTCTACTACCTGAGAAATACATTGACAAATAAGTTTATTAACTTCATTTCTATGCAAAAATGAGAGTTAAAATAGTCTTACTTCTTCTCTAACTTTAAGTTCGAACCATCCCTTGGTATTCCATTTTGCCTGTGCCAAATATACGTTCTCGTTATCGTCCAAAGTTCTTCTTTCACGTTGAGAAGTTCGTTTGCGGACCGATCCGGTAAAAGTACTCTCGGCCACGGAGGGATACTCTAACTCTTCTACCAAGACAAATTTCGACGGATCTTCCATACGATGAGCTTTTAATAAAGCCTTAAAATAAAAAGCATTTAATTTATAAGATTTTATATAAATATTTCTTTGTCTTTATTTGCTACTGAAATTATAAAATAAGATAAAAAGTAATGTAATAAAACAGCTTTTTACTTAATCAATGTGCATTACCGTAAGGGACACGAAGGTCGGAGAATTTGTACATATTTGGCCAGGGAAAGGCAAAGGATTCAAAACAAAAATTTGAGTAAGAACCCTGTATGTATGTGTTGTTAAATGTTTTAATATAGCCTATACCACATTTTAGTTTAGCCTACAGTATGTTTGGAGGTCAACTTATATAGCAGGTATGTCTAAATCAGAATCTTGAGAATATCTTATACTTTGTACATGCTGGTGTATGCTGTAGTATACATGCCAGTATGTCATAATAGAATATGCAATATTAGTCTTAAGCACCTTATACTGAACATCTTTTTAATGTTTCAAAACTTTTCATACTGGAAACATGGGAATTTCTTCAACAAAATGCAGAAATTTTATTGCAATGTTGATTGTGTCAATCAAACGGCTATCTCTTCTTCGTCATTTTTCCATGTACCTGCTTAGGCATTAACATTTCTTTTGTGGCTGTGAAAATATCAAAGACGATTGTAATCTGATCATCTTTCAATTTCAACAAATACAACAAACCTTATTAGTTATAGAAATCGTGAGGAGTAACAAAAGGTGAAATTTAAAAAGAATGAAAATGACAGGAGAAATGGGCAAATAATTCATGATTTCTCTTCCATCACATATTAAGTTTAACATTCTAGAATAAATTATGATTTATTCCAGATCATTTTAAATCTAGGCAGATGATATTAACTAATAACCTGAGATAATATGTGTTGTGCTGTACTTGACGTTGGAGCTTTTAAAATTGCATAAGGCTGATCGGGTGATACGTTATATACACAAACGAGAAAAGTATCTTCGTCCTCGCCCCAATCGTGAAGTTCGTCTCCACTCATTTCCGCATCTAGTTTTTTCTGCAAAATCAATACATAAAAAAAATAAGAATTTTCCAAATTTAATTCAAATAACAAAAAATATATACTTACTCTCTCCTTATTTGCCGAACTTTGAATAGTGGTCATCCACGCTCGAGTACTTGGATCCTAATTAATTCCAAACAAAGAAAGTATTAAGGATGTGATTTGTGTTGATATGCGAAGAATAAAATATTTCAAATTAATAATTTAACAACTGATGCAGTGTCTTTATAATATAAAATAATCTAACTTCTTTCTACTTAATTTTGAAAAGAATAAATACATTTCTGAACTTAAAAACCTACATAATTTTAAAACAATATTTATTTCATCATTAGAACTAATTCAAATCATATCAAATCTAAAAGATTATACTTTTAATCATCTTCAGAAACAAAAACTAACATGGTCACGATGAGCTTTAACAATTTGAATGTACCATATATCAAAAGTAATTGGTCCATGTTTCGGCATTTTGCTCAGTGGCCTTAGTTTTCAAGGTAGCAATGTATAAAATTTGGACTATTAGAAAATAAGTAATGGTAGCATGATAAGCTTGTGAATAATACATGGATTCAAATATCCATGTATTATTAATTTTTATTTGAATTTAATATCTTGGTACTTAAATGAGACAACATAAACTTCCTGTTGTTACATTTATTAACAAATCACAAAAATATTATATAAACTGTATATTTAAGCCAAGCATTTGAAAATAACAACAAAATGGTATTCTCTTTAGAGTGTCAAATGCTTCTCTTACCAATTGTATGAGAGGATTTTTAGATATATCTTGATAGTTTTACTTTGTTTTGAGGTAGCTACAATCAGGAGTGAACGCAAATCCACAATGGAGTGTCTCGAAACCTCTGACAATGTAAATGTTGAGCATACATTTCTAAATTATTATGAAAAATAAGATATGGATGCCTTAAAAATTTATTGCAAAATTTTAGAGAAGTTAAAATATTATAGAGAGACCAGCTAGTGAATCAATAAGCAGGAAATCCTTTGGAAAGTTTTGGAGAAAAAATTGCCAAAGAAATTATTGAAGTTTTAAGACTGACATTTTAATGAGGAAGAAGGATTATTTCTACCATGCAAAGACCTTATAAAAGATGACGACAATACAGAAATGCCACAGTCCTCAGATGCTTTGCTTGGGAATAAATCAGTTATTTATGACACTTCTACTAGTCATACTCCACGTTGGATAGCGAAGAAGAATACCAGTACCAAAAATAAAGAAAGTAACCATAAAGTATATATCAATAGATATGAAAATAAAAATTTTGAATTTGGTGACACGGCATCCAAGGTGGATCTTGAAAACAATTCGTAAGCATAGCGGCAGTGCTTTGTAGCAACAACCAATTAAAAGTATGGCTAGAAGAAATTGAGGAAAGTAGTGGAGTAAAATAAAAATACAACACGATTAATAACTAAACTTTCAATCGTTTCTGTGAAGCCTGTAACAATTAGGATACTACAACAGCAGACATCTCAAGCAGCTGTGCAACATTAACGTCCAGACTTTTATTAATACTTCACAGCATCACACGGTTGAATTAAAAATTTAAGGCAGCTTGTGGTATCCAAAAAAGAGGTTAAATCCAAAAGTATGCTGGATTTACTCAGCATAATGTGATTTATTTATTTAAACTAGAAAGTTAGGAATTTTACTAGGGAATAAGTTTGAACATTTGAAAATGGTTTAATTGTAAAATTGCATTATCTATATGCATTTAGGTTGGAAAAATAACATGAAGTGAAATCATAAACAAATCATCACTAAGTAATCAGAGGTATACCAACTGTTCTACACACTGAACATTCAGAATTATTATTTTTATGATTAACATCTAGTTCTATTTAAGAATGAAATTATGTAAATTTTGAATCATTCTATATAAAGTTTAGTATGTATGTACAGTACATTGCAATTGAACACAAATATAACTGAAATAAACTATATATAATAAATTTAAATTAACATTTGATAAAGTGGTTTTATGAATAACTAAAATAGCACATTTCAAAATTAATTTAGTTAAACAAAATTTTAGCAGACTTTCTTAACACTATATTTATTTAATAAAGTAAATCTTATGAAAAATTTCAAAATATTTATTTTCAATCAGTATAGTTAACTTGCATTTCCAAGTTTTTTCAAAATAAATTTTCCTTCTCCTTGCCATTTTGCTTGAGCTTCTAATGGATGTTCATCGTGATCAAGTATTCTTTGAGTTGATTTTTCCTGATTAGACTTTTCCCATCCTCTTTGAACTTCTTCAATAAGAACATAATCGTCAAGATTTTCATTTAATTTATTTGCTTTCATAAGAGCCTGAAACAACACAGTAACATAATCAGAAAATTAGACATAAAATATTTCCATATCACAGAATTCTGAAATAATATATTACGTAGATAAAATATAAGATACGATAATTACATGCCTGAGCAATTACTTCTTTCGTTGTGCTGTCTTGAGTAATTTTTAATATAGTGCTAGGTTCGTCGGGTACGACTCCGTGAACCATTAAGAAAAACATTCTTCTTTTCATAGGTACTCCAGTTGTTGATAGCTATAAGATATTAATTATTTTAAAATCTTTTAATATTATAAAAGATTATCATCGTATTTTAAATCAAATAATCATTTTACATCTTTCGTTTCGGCTTTCCCGTTTTCGCCGGCGGATAAATTGATTTTTCCTTTCAATTTTTTTCCACTGTCGTGTAAATCTCCATTTACAACCGGAAGCTCCAAACCTTCTTCTTCCCAAACAGAATAAATAAATAGCGTAGACAGTGGCAAAGCTTGATTTTGCAGATTCTTTAGTCGAACATGTCTGTAACCTATTTTAGTAATTTTAAATTTGAATTATTGTCTTTCTATTACTTTGTATAGATTTAAACTAGTCATCAATCAATTATTCTGATCCTTTAAAAATGTAGGCCATATGGTAATGATAAAATTAACATTAAATATAAAAACAAAATTAAAAGAATTAAATTAATATCAAGAATAAAAAAGTATAAAGTAACAATATTCATTTTTACACTAACAATAAAATGCATACGAACTGAGTAGTAGCATAAATGTAGTATGAAAGATTGGCACATACATAGATATAGAAGAGAGCGTGTATGTAGTGCTCTAATTATTGTTTATAAATTACAAGTAAATAAAGTGTTACATTGTCTCCTCAAACGCTTAAATATATTTCCATTTAGAAATCAAAGATCAAAAAATTTATTTAGTAATTTCCAGAATCATTATGCTAAATTGTTTGAAATGAGAGAGAAAATTTCAGTAAAAAGATAGCCAAAGAAATAAAACAAATTAAATATTAATTTAGAAAATTTTTTTATTGTCTACATTTTTAAACCGTCCTTTGAAAACAGATGCTTTGAACTACTTTCTTTAATGTTTAAATTTTATTTTACATTTTTTGCTTAACAATGTATAATATTGATCAATTGTATAATATTATAGCTGTTGAAAAATAGTATTAGTTCCAGTTTATCTTAATTACTTAATAACTCATAACCATAGATCAAATCTTTACCTTCTTCATATTTATAACGTTTGTTCTTTATTCATTTTTACTCTTATCCTTATCTCTTCAGCAATGTCTATTAGAAATCATTCTACAACTGATTATGTGATTTTAACAGAAAGTTTTTTAACATTCATTGAAGTTTATTTATCTATAATAATGTTTATATTTTTTTCTTCTGAGTATTGTCCTTATACTTACATATAAATTTTTAATTCTGTTGTCATATGTTAGTTTTTCAACACCTAGATTTTATCTTAAACTTTCACTTTACTTTTAATCCATCCAGGTTGCATGTTGGTTATTTGCTATTTTCATAATTTTAACGAATATATAGTATTATTTACATTTACTAAATGAATTTGTATGTTTATGGAATATGTTATAAATTAATTAGTTAAATTTTAGAAAAAAGGAGTATTGTGTACTTTGTTATAAAGATCCTAATCTTACTCAATGAAATAGTAAACTCAATTGATGTTATTGTAATGTTAGCTTGACTATCTGTTTCAACACAATATAGAAACCATACAACATTTTTATATAATGACTAATATTATAGTTCATTTGTGGAATTAAAGAAAGGTTAAAAGAGAAAGTATTAAATTAACAGTTGAGATTTAATAAATGAAACAATATTGGTAAATATAGATACAACTATAAAATATTTCTAATTTTATCTAATATTGTAGCTCTTAGTGTGTGTTTAAAAAATACCATAATAATATCCCAATTTCAATCAGCAATCAATAAGAATTAATTTAAATATTCAAAATTTATTAAAAAACGCACCTTGTTTTAAGCATATTAATGGAATAACTCTTTGAGCTGTGACGTGATTTGTACTCATATCCGTAACAGAAAATCTCAGAAATGCCAAATCGATGAAAGTAACCTGTTAAAGTAATCAAAATCTATTTTATGTCATCTAATAACTGAAATTATTTGATTTTTTAACATTAATATAAATATTATAGTTTATCCGTATAAACAGATAATTGAATACTTTATTGTATATCATATTTTTGTGTGAATAATCCACAGAAAATTGCTAGAATGAAAATAAAACTTTTGCATAACTGCCCCATTATATATACTATGTCCATGGAGTAATAGCTGCTCCACAAGCATGAATTCATAATTGCAATTTAAAATCAGTATATAATCCCTCTTTATCATATAATCTACATTCATTTCAAATTGTCTTTTATGAGGGTTGGATATAAAATATATCATTCATTTGGAAGAAGAGTGTAACAACAAAAATGTCATAAGGTGTGCTCTCTGTTGGCAACCAAGCAAGTTCAACTTCTGACATTTTTTCCTATAAAAATACAGATACTTTTGGAACTGTCTTATGCAAAAAAACTCAAAAATTATCTTTTTTTTTTTTTTATGTGATACTCTTCTTCCAAATGAATGGTATGTATGAGATAAAAGATTTATTCATAGAATAATCCTTTTGTGTAATCACCCCCCCAAATTTTTAACCTTCTATCACATGTGAAAGGTGCTGGAAATCATCAGCAAAAACGTTTTTGTTGATGCCACAGACAGTGCCCTACTGCTCAGAAGATTTTTTCTCTTGTATGGAAACATTTTCCCGTCATTGTTTTTTTTCATTTTGAGGAGATTAAAGTCAAACGTTTGGAAAATATAGCAAATGTTTGAGCACCTCCCATTGTTATCTTACTAACAAATTTGATGTGGGAGCACTTGGTGACATTAAGCATTTTCAAGCAAATCAATGGGCACACATTTGGAAATTTCACTGCTTTTGCACACAGCAGGACAAAGATGATTTTACAGAAAATATTGGTAGTATTCAACATTAACAATCTGATGATGTGGAACTGCATGATGCAGTTTTCGTACTGTGCACATTATATGCCACTACTGACATCACTTTGACATTCCTGGGTTCTAGGTACAAGTTTTTGACTGGGGAGACAATGAGCGTTGCTATTCATCTGATTGTCATTTACATTCTAGTTCATATTATTTCATCCATGTTTCATCCAGAGAGATGATCCTGTCGAGGAATGTGCTACCTTCACTGTTGTAACATTCCAAATGGTGATTGGAAAGGGTGTACTGGTCTGAATAAAAGTAAAGTGACGAGACACCCATTAGGACGCAATTTTTCTGTGACTATAACCAAGCATGTTTTTCAACACAGTGCAAAATTGTTTTGTACCATGTCTTAATTCTACAGCTAACTGTCTTGCTGTCCATTGTTGATTCATCACCATTAGTGATTGAATCAGCTCCTTGTGATGATTGTCCATACTGGGTCAACCTGAACATGGAGCAACTTATTAGCATTTTGCAAGGTCAAAATACAGTACATCTATTGCACCACTATTTGATAGAATAATGCATGATTAACACATTTGGGACTGATGCTTTTTAGGTGACATGTTTCTATGGAATGGTCTCTGTTGTCCTTTTTTAAATTTGTATGCATTTGAAAAATAACTAACACAGACTAATAATAAAAACCATGAAGGGTGTTTTTTCTCATTTAATTTGATATATAATAAGTAAGAATTTGTTGCTTATACCTTAAAACATTCTGTAATGCCTGCATCCACAGGCTGCAATATTCCAGTGAAATTTGGAGGGAAGAATTCAATTCTAATATTTCTCAGATGCTCATTCTTATGCCTCATGGTGTCAGTAATAACAGCACCTTCCTCTTTTCTTTCTTCATTGCAGTAACAGCACCTTTAGCCACTTGCTAAACTCTACAGCAGTCATCCAAGCCTTTCAGTTGTGGCAATAATCAATGTAAAGTGTTGGACTAAAATTTTTGAAATATCTAGGACAAGCTGCTTTTCCTATAACATTGACTATTCTCTTCTCACTTCCATCTGAGTTAGTGCAAAAAAAAATGAATATGATAATATCTTTAACTTTTTGGTGACCTCTAACTGAGCTGGCTGAAATGGTTTTGTCTAGCTGCATATGGTAGAAAAGAGTGCTTTCATTCATATTGTATACATCTTTGGGTCATGTTCATCAATGGCAGTGGATAATCTTTGGCATCCTTCAGCGACATTTTCATTGACTGTAATAATCGCACCATGCTTCATCTTTTATGAAAGACCTTTATTGTGTAAAGCATGCCAACCAGCCATTGCTATAGTTGAAGTTTATAGACCAATTTTCATATCCCACAAAATAGAAAAAAAAAAAGGTTATATGAAGTTACAGATGAGAATATCATTAGCCAATGAAGATGAATACAATGAATAAAGAACCATGCACAGCAGATGGTGGAACAATGTATTTATTTTTGTGGAAAAGATACAGGTTCTTAAGGATTCCAACTCAAAAATACAAACAGTAACACAGCATCATCCAAAATCCAAAAATGTCTGGGAAACAATAATATTGTGAGGTGTACAAGGAACTGAGCTCAGGTAATGCAATAACTAATTCTTAAAACTAACTTATGCTAAGGAAGAAGGAAGTCAGAAAGGATAGGTAAGAGATAGCGAGATAGTTAACAGAAGAGAACTGAATACCTGGGATGTATGAACATTACACAACATCCATGAAAGGCCATGTGGAACTTGCTTGGACTGATTTTGAGTCACTGTATTTCTTTTTCTAGATTTGAGACTTGCTGTGTTGTCACTTCAATAAGCTCATTAATCTTTTTCATGCCAGTTTGGTTTCACAAGCCTTGCCGATACTTGATGACACTCAGCATCATCTCCTCCGTCTTTACTTCACAAAGGCCAGCCGAGAAAAAGACCTCTCCTGCTCCAAATGTGCCCTTGGGTAGCCTTGCCCCACTTTGTTCACATGGTTCCACGAATTGGCTCTCACCACCCAAGGGAATAGGGTAAGAAGGAACAAAGAACGAAGGAAAGATGCTAAAACTGTGACTAAGTGAAAATTATATTATGGCTTACAGCCACAGTTGGCAATAAAGTGCTGTATGTTTAAAGATTGTAACTCAATTTCTTTCATTCAACAGAAATTGTAGCCTTTTTCCCTGACATCATTTTATCAACAACCGAAAACTGGAAGCACAGAGGTGGCCAAAATTAGTGTGGGACTGACTTGAACAAATTTGTAGAAGGAATTGCAGAGCACCTTGAAAGCTTTTAACATAACAATGGATAGTACCCTTAACTAGCTCTTTCCAAATGTGTGACAATGGGACTTTTAATGAAAGAATGTTCTCCAATTGCCTTCCAGAACTCTCAGACAATGCTTAATTACTGTCTTGTCAACAACTTGTCAATCACTTTTAATCTGGCAATTTACATGTAGGTCAAGCTTCGTTTCCTGCACCTATGGTGAATTATAGAAAACAAAAGCAATATTAAAATGCATGTTTTTATGCAGGCTTTTAAATTGGTAGATGGCAGAGGGCAGTTTATTGGGAAGATCCATTTGCTTATTATTTTTGTGGTTGGTGAGGTTTGATTGTATATTGATATACAACTATTAGTTATTATTCTATTTTAGTTTATAAATATGCATTGAAATTATTTTTTTTCTAAATATTTTATTCCAAGACATTTGTTTTTAGTAAATTTATAAAAGTGATCATAATATTGCTTGTATACTCAAAACTTTATGAAGAATTTTAACACACTGAATGTCAGTAAGTCAGTCAGGTCTATATGAATGCATGGCCCAAGACCAGTTTACAAGAGCAGTATGAATTACAGAAACATTTTTTATAATTTACATTACGAAATCAAACTCTGACATATTATTTATAGTATAGTATAGTAGAGCATCAATTATCTGAAAAATTGATTAACCAAAATTGTATTCAGAATTTCTATTAGTAGTACTTTCTTAAGTTTTTATATAATAATGATTGTTGATGACAGGCTCATTATTGAGTGGTCTCATTATTAATATTACTGTTATGTATTTTATATTTTGAATTCAAAGTTTCATCAGTATGTTGTAGATTGCACTGAAAGACTAATGTTTGTTTAAGTAGATTAGACAATTTTTTTGTTACTTCTAATCAATCACAGGTATTAAATTTCTATGTCTTAATCTTGTTTTACTATTGTATTGGGTCGTTGCAAATTTTTTAAAATTTAAACTTTCCGGCCTTGTAGTTTGACTTTTTTTCACAATAGTGCTGTATGTTTGCAATTGGAAGAGCACACATACAATATGTGAATTTAATAATGTAATCTCATTTATATCATGAGTTCCACGTGAATATTTTTTCTGATGGCATGGAAAAAGGAAATTGAATAATTTTCTTTTTCGAGTATAAGCAGAAACATAATGCAGCCAAAGAAACCCGAAATATCAATAAAACTTTTGGTGAAGGCTCAAAAAATTTCATTCTGGAAATACAAATCTCAAAAATCAGAATGGAAGAACATCGTCAAATCGGAACATTACCCAACAGTCTGGAAAATTGCAGAAAGGTTGAACATACTGAACATTATTCAACCGTTTCTTGACATCAGCATGTTAGGGAAAGTCGAGAAGCTCGACAAATGCGTACCACATGAACTCGATGAGAGAGAAAAGGTGCATCATTTGGAGGTCTGCAGTTCTTTAATTATTTATCACAAAAATGAAAGTATTCAAATGAAATTCTTCCCCATCCATTGTATTTTCCAGACTTTTTAACAACAGACTGACTATCGGTTTTTTGGCAAGGAAAGTCATTGAGGAAGAGGATGTAATAAAAAGTATCTTTAACGACTTTTTGGCTTCTCATTCTCATGATTTCTATCAAATTGGGAAAAGTGTATTAATATTGGTGGAGACAGTTTTGATTTTAAAAGAAACTTACATATTCATAAATGTTCAAAGTCAGAAGTAAAAACTGGCCATTTCATTTGCAACGACCTAATACTATAATTACGATTAAGATATTGATCTTTTTATTCTTCCCCTGTAGAATGTAACTGATTATCCAAAAGTATCCTTGCCCTGATTATTTCAGACAATCTGTACTCTACTATAATAAAGACAGTTAAAAACAAACAAGTAATGACGAATCTTAATTAATATCCGAAAATCCTTGAGAGAAATAGTTTTTACAAAATTTTATTTACTTTAAAATGAAAGGAATCATTCCAGATAGGGTTTAATGAGTTTCTTTGAACCAACTTTGTTTTCTGTCTATTACAATCAACTGGAATGCCAATAATTTCCATTTCAACTTGTGGACTTCCTGTATGAGTTGATGGGCATACATACTGTCCTGATATTATCTAAAATAAAATATATTTTTGGCAAAAATTACTTAACAATAATAATTGTCATTTATATTAAAAAAAATTAATTTTATATAATACCGTGATAGTCATACTAATAGAGTGTAAGCCATCAAATTCTTTGTCCCAGGGGTTGAAACGGCCGTGCATCATCAGTGAATGATCCCACATAACTCGGGGTTTAAGGACATAGCCACATCGACCATTCTGTTCAAACATTGCAGTATTAATATGTGATGCAGTATCTGCAGAAAATTATCATTGAATAACTATTCATTTTCACAAATAAAAAAATTAATTATTCATTTAAAATAATTCTAATAAATTTAATAATCATAGTAATAAAGTCAAATATATTTTGTCATGATATATTAAAAAATTTTATTGAAATTTATTTTATATTATATACATAAATAAACATGTTAAAAATTTTACACTGAAGTCGTGTATTTTCATTTTCAGGCTAAGTTGCTCAGGAAAGTTTTATGGTCAAGTATAATTTTCATTTTTATATATATGTTACTGTGAATGACCGATATCTGGCGAATGTCGAGATTCAGCATGCACTGATGGTGAATGTTGAATAAAAATATTTTTATTACGTTAAGACAAAAATGCAACTTTTTAATACGTCAAAATAGGAGAAAACTTAAGTAACAGCACTTGTAAATAAACTGTTGAACCTAAAACGAACATTACAGTCGACCCCCCTATAATTACAGTCCCTATAGTTACGATTCCTATAAAACTACGAAAAAATTGCTACCGGTATCCGTAAAAAATAGTAAAAGTTCCCTATAAACACCTCAAACGTCATCGGGAAGCCGAACTACTTTCCCGCCGTCCGTAGCGCCACGCTACGGAGAGATTTCTATCGTCTGGACAGTATTATATAAATTATATATAAATTAGGTACTGTACATATAATTATATATTAATTATATATAAATTAGGTACTGTATATATAATTATATATTAACTTATTGTAACTTTGTTATAATTAAATATATAATTTCCGCCGTCTAGCGTGGCGCCACGCTACGGAGATTTTTACGCTAACTATCGTCTGTCAGTATGTAAATTAGGTACCGTAAGTCTAATACAGTACTGTAATTTTATACATTTCTTGTGAAAGAAACATTTCTTATTCAACGGCGATTAAAATTATTTATATTAATGATGTCTCCGAAGTTCTACGAAGTTTTCACAGAAAAATAAGTTGTTAGAAATCGGCCGCTCTTTGCTGAGCTGTTCCGCGACGAAAACAATGTTGAGCAATGGCAATGTCGAATGGTGACACTCGGTAAGTAATCCTACAATTTTTTGTTTATAGCGTAGTTTATACGGATTATTCCCAAAAAATATATACGTATTTTGGAAATGTTGAGTCGGATTAGTATAGAATCGATTAATTTTATGGAAGAAAATCTTTCAAACAGCCGTAGTCCGTAAACTTGATACGTGTCGGGTTGTGATTGGAAGGATTCGTAAGAAAGCGGATTCCTAGAGAATGGAACGTATCTCTATCTTATAGGGGGGTCGACTGTACATTCTTAATCAGAAAAGTAAAATAATACACAAAATTACATAAACATATATTATGTGATTAACGGTATATAATTTTATTTATTGCAACAACTTAAACTGTTATGGCACTTTGAATTGACAAGAGTCCCTTGCTTTTACAACTGCATTTATTCGTGGAACACTTCTTTTTGCAATGACAGCGTGTATAGCCTTGCCCTCCACTTTTTGAATTAGCTGCAGCTGCTTCTCTCGGCAATATTTCTTGAGAATAAATCTCATCTATGGAAAGTAACTTTTCTTTATAAATTATGAACTGATTATGGGTATAAAGCTGCTTCAGGGTACCATTTTTGTTTGCTAATTTATAAAAGTCGGAGTCTTCTATTCCAACTAAAACCACCAACACATTTTGGGCATTTGTAAGGCCACGGTTGACATCGGGGACTTGTATTCTTATGGTATCACCGATTTGAGCAGAAGGAAACGGCAAAGAATTTGGTGACTCATTGTCGCCTCTCCGTCGACATCGGCTTCTCGGGTGTCGTTTCGACCTCCACCAAAGCTTATCTGTACTTGTCGACATACACCGGCAATTGTTCGAATGTATAATAATATAACCAAATATTCGGTCTTTCACCGACGTATTTTGTATGTGTTGACATTCACCGGAGAATATCAACATTCTCTAACTTTGGTCTTTCACAGTAACATATACAGTAATTATAACTGTATGACAACTTAATGTAATAACTTAATGACAACGTTTATAAAAATAATTATGAAATAATAATAATAATAATAATAATAATATATAACAGAGTATACCTTCTGTTTGATAATTTAATGCCACCATCTGTAATCCAAATGCCCAGAATATTACAGGATTAAAGTTTGAAGAATCAATTCTCATTCCTGCTGGATATGTTCTCATCAGTTGTGTTTCACAATGAGTATTATTTATTAAGGAATCGTAAACAGAAATTAAAATAGTTGAAATATGAAACCAAAAATTTCTCTTATTTAATACAATTAATGGAAAAGCAGTCAATATCAGAATTCTGAAACTATTTTAATGATCATCCATATTAATATTTATATTAAAAGAGGTATATATTATTCAGAATAGGATTCATAGTTTCCGGGGTAGAGTCACTAGTTAGGAAATACTAATTTATTATTATATGAATAGTTTCTTTAAATCATCTAAATTTTTCAAATTTCAATTTAAAGCACTATTTGCAAAGGATCAGTTATACAAAAATATAGTTGCTCATTTGAATTAAAAAGCATTCCATTTTTTAATTGCTGTATTTAAATTCTTTATAAGCAGTTTCTCTTGCTATGAATTTAAACTAGAACGATTTAATGAATAGTTTTAAAAAAAGCATTAGATCATAGATTTCTGAAATCAGCTTTTTTGGAATTTCAGTTTAAAAAGCATAGAACTAGACCTATCAAACCTCTAATGTTATTTTTGGATTTCTTATCAGAAGTTGAAGAAGTAATTTGAAGCAATTGTAAAATATATTGTAAACAAAGAAAAAACAGTGTTATTAAAAATCATTCGACCTTTTAGCATGGCACAAAAATTAGCAGTGTTCGGATTAGAGGGATTACTGTATATTCAGGATAGTTCCAGAAAGAATATAGAACGATTTTGGAAATAAAAAGTGGACTATTTTATAAGTTTTGATAGAATTATGATATCATTAGCAAGAGTAAATAGTTCACATCTGGTTCTTATCGGATCTTTATCAAGAATAGGAAGTTTTGCCTAAAGGCCTTTGCATGGTTCACCTCACTGAATATGAAGTGAAGTGAACTGTGAAATTAAAATACAATAGGTTAATGTGGTCATTAACAGGTGAAAGTGTACATCAGTGAAAGTTAATTAAATGAAATTTGATTGGACAGCCTGTTATTTGAGGAAAATTTACGTAATACGAAATGTATAATAACCATTGCCATTTTTAACTGTGTTGCTGTCTTAGAATTTCTTTTCATGTAAAATTTTTTTTAGTCAAATTACACTGCACTGGACTTTTAGTTTGTTATGATTTTGTGTTTTCTGAACTGAATTATGAAATTTACTCTTTAGTTTCTACAAAACTTTTTGGATTTATATATGCAACTAATTTGGAATTAACCAAACAAAAGAAGCAGTATGCCTTGTATAACTCCAGCAATATATAATTAACCAAAATCATTTTCCACCTATTTTCATAGGCCTTCTTCAATTGGAAAACTGAAGGCAGCCTATGGAAGTAGGTTGAAAAGTTTTTTGGTTAATTAAACATATTTCTAAATGTACCGCTTCTTTTCTTTGGCTACTTGTCCAGTTTTGTGAAATTATTTTGTATGGAACAGCTTAGAATAATTGCATTTTGTCTTGAAATAAGTCAATGGCATTATACAATAAATTTCTAGAAAAGAATAATGAAATGGTAAATTTATTGTGAAATTTCATTAAAATTCTTGGCAAGTACCAAACTTAAGAAAGTTTCAAAATTTGTTGACCCGAGAAATTTGAATTAGAACTAACTTACGAAGAACGACTACTAGCTGTGACTCCAATTTTAATGTATATTAACGTCCATCATTTTTAATATTGAATGCATGACTTTGATTTTATCTCTAATTGATTTGGTGATGTAATTCTGAGGAAAAAAAATCTGACATATTTAATTCTCTTATTTCTCTGTTACACAATTGCATTTGTAAGATGCCAGTCATTAATGATTGGTATGACTATTGTTATCAGGAAAAGTATGATGTACAGGGGTAAGACACTTCTAATTTGAGGTGAGGCGCACTTATTTTAAATTAAATAAATTAAAACTATGATAAAAAAATTGCAGCTAGGCATTATGACGATGTTGCAATTAATATTTGCTCATTAAATTATTATATTATAGTGTAAATTTATATACATATATAATAAAAACTTATTTAATAATAATTTAACAAATGGTAGAAACAATCAGATATGTGAAGAATGTCTATCTGAAAACATTCTTAAACAAATGAAATGCAATTTAATATTTTTTAAAAATTTAAGAATGCTTTTTATATTCATAAAATTAAAATAATTTTTTATAAATTTTATTGAAATCTAATTAATAATTTTTAAAATTAAATTATTAAGCATGCATAAAAAATCTTGCAGTAGCAAGTCAAGATTTAACAATTAAACAATTAGCACAGTTCTTTAATAGTTGCATATATTTAACTTAATGTTGCATTAATTTACCAAAATTAAATTTAAGTAATTCTATTATAGGAACATCCAATGATTACCTACATGATCAGGCTATAATTTGCTAATTTAAATAAGTAATTTGCTACTAGAGGTAGACATTAGGTGCCATCTCTTAACTAAATTAATAATTATAATTTTAATAATTTATTAAATAATTTAGAACCATCTGGAAGAAAAGAAACTGACCTGGAGCAGGGTTTGAATCTGCAACCTCCTCTTACCATGCAGTGCACTTACCAGTTAGGTCACCAGACCCCAAACAAGCCTTCACTTCCAGATGTATTTAAAATTTAGATTAACTTTATGCAGTTACTCATGGTGTAAGGTTGTATTANAGCAATTATGTATTAAAAAGGTATCGAAATATATATATATATATATATATATATATATATAACAAACATCTCAAAGTCCGATAAGTATATAGAAACATCCAACGATTGCCTAAATTTATATACTTATCAGCCTTTAAGATGTTTGTTATACTTGTAATTCTATTATATTATAAATGTACCACTAAAACTATTAAAGGATATGTAATAAGAGCTAAAGGATGTCTTTTGCATAACTTTTTTGCAGTGTTTTCATTTAATGATGAAACTTGATAACAAGGAGATGATAAACATGGTCTTTTTCCAGGAGATGTTTCATGTTTGGTTTCTAAAAATATACACTATATAATCCATTAAAATTCTTTAATAATAAAATATAAATATAGTAATTTTAAATAACCTGTTTGAAGAGGTTGACTTAATGGTGTAGGAACAGAACTACTTGCTGGAAGAAGATTCTTTCTATTTGCTGTCTTCTTAGCTTTGACAGAATTGGTGGGACTTGAACTAGTAATGAATCCTAAATATTTAAATATTCTCTTAGAATTATATTACCTTTTTTTAATCTATTTTATAAAACATAAAATATAATAAAAAGTTTTAGTATTAAAAGAATCTAATTGTATCTTTTTTAAAAACATTTTAAATTGCACAGATTTATATCATATTTTGATTAAGTTAACAACCGTTACTTTACAACTGGTTAATATTAGACAATAATAAACACTGCAAAAACCTAACAAACAGTGAGAAAATTATAAACAAAGTGTAAACATTTTTGCCGTTAAACTGGCATCGTCAGGCAACAAACTGTTGAAAAAACATGGGATTGCCAAACACTTGTGTAAGGGGAAGGGGTGTATGACATAAGAAAAGAGGAGGGGGAGTTTATATTTTGCAAAAAGACTTCTGGGCAGTGGGGAAGGAATCAATGTCGTGATAGTTTATGGCTGCGTGATGATGGGTAGCCTTGTAAATTTTAATTAATCTTAAAATAAATGCTTTCACGCAAGTAAAAATTATTTAATAAAATATCAGTACTTTTGAGCTCTTTGGACATTTTAATTTTTTAAAATGTGAACTGGAATTGAATCTTACACCATTCAGTTAAAATTTTCTCTTGTTAACAAGGAAATTTGGATCCAATAGGTTTTAACAGGATTGTTGAAGAAACATTTTGTCTGTAAATTTCTGTTTTTATTAAAGAAATAATTTCTAAAACAGATTCATGATTTATAGTTATGGTAACATTTATTTATAGTCATGGTTTGTTTTACTTTAAATAAACAAATTCTGATTCTGACTCTGGAACATGGATTGTGATTATAGATATTGGCAAAGTATTTACTATAGTACAGTTGACCCCCCTATAACACTGTTGATTATTCCGTGTTATATGAATTCCATGTTGTACGAGTCACTTAGATTTTACAAATGTGTGTGTCGGGTTGTGAACAGCACACATTTTTATAAAATCTAAGTGACTCGTACAACATGGAATTCATGTAAAACGGAATAATCAACAGTGTTATAGGGGATCGACTGTACTTACGATCAGAACTATGCTTAGAATGATGACTGCCTATATGCAAAAATAATTCACTGCCTCAAGATTAATAGTTCTGGCTCACCACTTATGTCTTTTATAAATAGAGGGAATCTATCCCTCTTTATTCTAAATATACATTCTTTTGTTTTGTCTGGACTATGCCAAATCTTATTTCATTTTGTAAAACCTATGACATATAATAAACTGTTCGTGAAGATTGGAACTACAGTTGTAATATATTCACTGTAATGTTTATATTGAATAAATTGGCTCTTGACAAGTATCAACTGTCTCAAAAAAATTGACATACAAAGCTGTAATTAGAATATCGTACTGAATCCTGCTGAAAGTTTACAATAGATTATAAAAGTGAGCAAAAATAACAATAATAATAATTTCACATAATACTGTAAATTCTTTGCAATATACAGTAATTCAAACTTTTATAACTATTATTCAATGTATAAACATTGAATAATAGAGTAGTGAAATTTAGGGTACATGAACAATGAATGCAAGCTATTTGCAGTAGTTCATTTAAGTAGTTCATACTATACAATATAATGCTAAATGGAAATGTTTAGTACTCATAGATGGAATCAATACATTTATAAAATGGTAGCAAAAGTTTTATTTAAATACTATATTTTAAAACAGAATGCAAGAAAAAAATTATTAAACAGAAGTCATTAAATATGCAGAAATGTTAAAAAAAGTGTTCATAATTAAACCAACTTTTACATCAGGTTCATCAATATTTTTTTTTGTTTAATGTTGCAAATGAAATATCAGTGATATAGACCAATCATTACTGATTTACATGATTTTATTTTTACAATACACAATCAGATTTTATATAAAATTATTGGACAAATATATAATTGTCTTTCTTCTTACTAAATTATGATGATGATATTCAAATAAAATTTATCTGTTGGAGGGAACTCAGCAAACTGTTTCAAACTATAACAAGAACATTCAATTCCATTTTAAGCACATTAAACATAAACAATACGTTGCCAACAGAATAGAAAAATCCGATGTTCCTAAACTCAATGTAAATTGAAAATAAATGTCACTTTAGGTTAGGTGACCGTCTTTCTTAGATGTAAAAGCAGGACACCAGATTAATAGCAGTACAGTGTACACTTGGTTACAAATAATTATTTGAAATAATTAGCATATGTAATTAATGTGAGCTTTAGGTGTAATTATTGACCACATTTTTTTTTTTTTACTAAGAAATAAATCACCTTATGACATGATCAGTAAGCTAACATTTCTTTTTAGTTTGACCTTGTTAAGTTTAAATTTTACATTTGTATTTTTGTTGGGGATAATGACAAAAGAAGCACACACAACCACCTTTTGACAAACAAAAATAATTTTAATAAAACAAACCATCACTACTAGACCCTGAGATATCGGCCATTTCAGTAAGGTAACAATCGAATTCGTGCATGTCCCGACAGCCATAGACTGCTATAACTAATTAAAATAAAGATACCCGAAGATCAAATCAAATAAAATTACAATACTGGGACTAATAATAATTATTTCTAAAATTCCTAAACTAAATATACAAACAATATCTTGCCAGTTGATGGCCAAACACTTTAAGTCTCAGCTTTGTAGATCCTGAAGCTTTAGCTGAAGCTCCATACGTCTCCTCACACAAATCTTTCTCTTGGGTGGATGCCACTCTCTCGAGTTCTGGGATGTCTTCCATGGTTCGTCCACTTCAGTCCTCATCCAAGACTTGACCCAAACCGAGCTTGTCTCATTTGAGCTCCACGTGTATTACCTTCCTTTGTCCAGATCAGTTCCCTTCAGCAGGGGGCCTTATTCCAACACTGAACAACAGAGCTGGTCTGGACATGATTGTGAACAATGGCATAATGCCGGACATAGGGCGGAAAGAGTACATGAAATGGAGAAAATAGAGAAGACCAAAAAAAAAAAAAAAAAAAAAAAAATGGCAGACCATCACAACCTTGACTTGCCTGCAAATTAGTCTAATCTGAAGCAGACAGTAGATCAGAAGCATGTAGGGCCAACAGCAAGTATTTCATAGATGAGTGGATTTTTGTAACAGCAGATTCCTTCAGCAGCATCTAAACTTCTCACAGCACTTGTTGCTAAAGTTACACTTGACCATCAGAATTCTTTTTAACATTTCAACTATGAGTTGTGTTTTCTTGGTTGTCCACATATTTTCTGCAGTGAATGTTATGTATATTCACTGCAAAAAATAAAAAAACTCTCACTTGCAGCATTGGTTCCCAGGAGACACAGGACAAACTTGACAAGCTTTAAAATTTGTTTATAAGGTACATGATTTTCTGTGAAATGTCTAAATATTTCTACCCCTCAATCTGTAATGGTTGACTACTTGGTGTGTTCCACTCACAAATCTTTTTTGTGGAAGCAAACTTGGGAATGTAAGTAATCTCATAAAATAACTCATTGTCATTGATAGCCAGATTTGGAAATTTGGATATGACATGTGGTAGGTTTTGATGTTTTCCCAAGACAGTATTTCTTTCAGAGCAACCCAGTTGAAGTCATTTAAACTGCTCTCTTCTTTCCTGAAGATACTCAGCACAGTTGTCATAGAATTTAATATTATTATTTTTATCATTATCAATCATCATATTATATTAAAAAACTATTAAAATGTTTTTGAAGAGACAGGCTTGGGAAAATGTCATATGCAGGAATGGCAAAAATAATTTTAATCCAGATACTGTATTTGATTACAGAAGAGTATACTTTATATATACTTCTTTGATTCCAGTATCAACAGTTAAACAATTTCTAACTAATTTTCCCAACCATTTAATGTTTGGAAATTGAAATTATACTTTTGATTGGCTAACAGATTTCAACTGAATGGTTTTGAATACAAAAATTATATCTTCTCAAAATATTAAATTCATTGCTGTGATTGATTAAGAAAAAATAGTTGACTAATAGTTGTTTTAAAAACAGTATAAATCTCCATTTGATATCTATACTTTTCAACAAAGTTCTGTGCAGTCTTATCATAATGTAAGTATATATACAGTGGTACCTCAGGATACGAACGCCCCAGCATATGAAATTTTCAGGATACGACACGAAATTCGAACATATTTTTGCTCCACGATGCGAACAAAAACTTGCCATATGACATTACATTAGTTTGCAGTGCCATTTTTTATTCACTTCTGTTCATCGGTCTCAGTCCGTGTGTTTGCTTTGTCGTGGAAGGATCTCGCTCGATAAAGGAAATCTTGAAGTATTATCAGAAAGTGACTGATTTTATTGAAAAGAAACATCCCAAAAAGGTTCACACTGGCCGTATTGCTGCTCGGAGTAATGACATTTGCCTAAGTCATCTTAGAAACATTTTAAAAAGTAGGCAAAGCCAAACCTATTTGGATACATATTTTACCAAGCGACTCTATCCAGTGAAAGTGCTGGTGGAAGTGAAGGAAAGAAAGCAAAAAGCAGTGAATAAAAATTAAAAAAAATATATATATATAAAACAACACTAATTTTTTTTTTATCTTTTCTAAATTATTTTTAAGTTATTGTTACATTATGTTATGTAAGTTAAGTTTTAGTATCATTTCCCTTCTCCACCACCAGTTTACACCTCCACCATCATCTATCCTCAAAGGTAAAGTGCAAAAAAAACTACATTTTTTTTTATCAATTATTTTTCTACTATGGTTATTTATACATTTACAACTACAAAATGCATTTTTCAGTGTTTTCCTTACTAAAGTTATTTTTTTTTTTAATGCTAAAGTAGTTTTTTTTAATTTACTACTTAGCTTTAATTTGAGTGTTTTTTTTCGTGTTGGAACGAATTATTTGGTTTTACATGTAATTATATAGGGAAAAATGATTCACTTACAACATTTTCATGATATGATCTCAGTTTCGGAACGGATTAATTTCANTGTTTTCCTTACTATAGTTATTTTTTTTTTAATGTACTTACTACTTAGCTTTAATTTGAGTGTGCTGTAAAGGAGTCAATGTCCGATCGTTATTTTATGTTTTGAGGCGTTATTTTTATTTGATTATTTTTCTTTTTGGGGTTCTTTTTAGTTAAGGACAACCCCTAAGCACAGATGGCAAAGAAAGAAAAGCAAACTTAGTTTGCATCCATGCCTGATCCTGTCACGCAAATGTATGTAAATTAAGACAGTGCAGAGCTGCACTAAACGTTAAATAAAAGGCGGCACATCGACTGTGGAGAGGGAGGTAGCTTCTTGCAACGATGGTTGTCGAGACATCTGTGATCACTTAGAGGAAGCAGTATATTTTGGGTGTAGGATCCTTTTGAGGTGGAGATAAAAAAGTTTTCTTTAATTTGATATTATAAGTACGATTTTTTTTGGATTATTGATTTTTGTTGTTGCTTCCACAATTATTTAACTAACTGTTGGGACAATTAACCCATTGTTTTTTTCAATATAATAAAACTTATATTTATTGTGAATTATTGTCTGTGGTTTTGGAAATTATTGTTTTAATTTGACAAGTCCAGACCTGGTACTTAAACCTTTATATTGTGTAACTCCGTGCTGTTTTGTTTTCGTAAAATGTGTGTTACAGTGCTTTTCGTGTTGGAATGAATTATTTGGTTTTACATGTAATTATATAGGGAAAAATGATTCACTTACAACATTTTCATGATATGATCTCAGTTTCGGAACGGATTAATTTCATATCCGGAGGTACCACTGTATGCCATGTATGTATGTATGTATATATATATATATATATGTATGTATGTATACATATATATATATACATACATATGTATAACATATATAGACTTTGTTCATGTATCTTCTGAGAACACTATTGGTCACCAACATGATTATTTTAAGGGGTAAAAATTGCTTCACGGGACCAACACTTTGTGCATCTTTTGAGGGCAAAATGACAGGACCACAAAATTTGAATAACTTAGGTAAGAAAAAATCACATGCAGGAACATCTTAACCGGGTTCTACTGTATAATAGCGAGATTGCAACCGAAGTTTTCATCTCTAAAACATGAACATTGAATGCCACTATCTTCTAAGTGGCACTCGATGTTCACGTTTTAGAGATGAAAGCTTCGGCTGTAACCTCGCTATTGTCATTTTTATGCCTCCAGTAAATGCTAGGTTCACCCATGGATTAAATTTAAAATGTCCCTGCACACTGTTTTCTAGACACACATTTAGTCTCAAGTTCCTCATCCACAGGCTGCTCACCCAGCATGGAAATAAACTGTTTCTGGAAATCTGTGAACAGAAACTCATTCCTTCATAGCATGGCAATATACTTCAGCATGTGCTTCCACTACAATATGTAGCCTGCCATAAATGTAAACACACATTATAGATGGCAATGAGGTCTACTCATTGAGCTTGTCACCTTTTTATTTTTATTCTCCGAGTGAAAAGTGGGACATTTAGGCATCCCAGTGGGATAAATGGGACAATACAAGATATGTCATGCATAAAGCGGGATGTCTGGTCACATTACATTAGGCCACTCCTATCTTGGGCACTTAAATAGATGGCTGCAAGATGGAGTTTGATTTACATTAAAATTTGTGCAGTTTTAATGGGTAATTTCAGAGGTGGCCACATAAGTAAGGTATTACTGTAGTTATGATAACATTTCTTGTAATTACAAAATTTGTTATAAAATATGTTTCAATAATTTTTTAAATTTAAAGTGATAACACATACCTCTAAATTTAATAGCTTGACAATAAATTACAATTTCAGACAGTTCAGGTGCAATCTGACTGCTTGATTTTTGAGGTTTTGCAATTTCGTCATCTGTATGCCAAACATCAGTTGTCATGTCTAACTGACTACGAGGCCTTGAAGAAATTCCAGTACAAGGACTCAAAGCTTTATCTTTTCCAGATCCAGATCCTTCTTGACTGGATATAGATTCAGTTCGAACTAAAATAAAATATTTACTAATTAATATAGAAAATTCTATATTAATAATGTATACTAATATTTAAAATTATAGTATAAAAAACTTAATATTCTTAATAACTTAATAATTAAAAAATATTCTTTATATTAAAAGTAATTTTTCTTTACAAAAATGCTTTTAGAGTGCCCTGGCATACTAGAATGCTGACAAGAATGCTGAAAATGTTTGTCAAAGGATAAAAGTAAGATGACTTCAAAAGAAAAGTTTTTAGCAAAATGTTAAATGAAATGTGATAAATAGTTAGATTTAATAAATTTTATAAGTTTCAGTCTGATACATTCTTTGTTCAACTTAAATGAAACTTCAAATCACATAAAACTAATCTACTGTTACTATTAAATAATAATAAATTATTTAATAGTAATAGGTAATAGTAACTTGGTATTAGTAAAAATAGGTAATTTACTTATTTTTACTAATATCAAGTGACAATGATGTGACAACTGTATATATTGTGTGTATGAGGAAACAGAATTGAGAGAATGATTTCTATAGTATATTTGTTAGTGATAACAACAAAAATTTACAAATTAGAAAACAATTTGATAAAAAAATTTTTATGTATTGTTAAGAAAGTAATGTAAATATTAATACTGTAAGAAAGCCATGGCTTTATTACAAAGGAAATGTAAAGAAAAACAAATGTTCTTAGCTCTTCTTTTTAATTTCAATACTTTGTTAACTGGTTAATAATAATTTAATAATCAATATATTTATTAGTCTTCAATTTGAAAAAATTGTAGACCTATAAATTCCTACTGTTGTCCACTTGTCTGTCCATCAGTCCTTCCTTAATCTCAAAAATGGAGTTAGTTAGATGAAAGAGATCAGATATGGAAACCTTAGGGGCAGGAGGCCCGATTAACTATATATAAACTTCTAATGAAAACCAGAAGTTATTTCAATTCTAAAATTTTTCCCTGAAAGGTAGATAGATGATTGGCACAACTCTATTGTTAAAGGAAAAGTATGATGTACAGAGGCAAGCCACTACTAATTTGAGATGGAGAGCATATATTTTAAATTAAATAAATTAAAAATATGATTAAAAATTGCAGCCTGGCATTGTGACAATGTGACAATAAATAATTGCTTGTTATATCTTGTAATTTTAAATAAGTTTTAAAATTTGTATATTATTATTATTATTTTTGAATAAAAAAGAAAATACAGTGGGTGANATTTCATTAGTCGAAATTATATTATTTTTGAATAAAAAAGAAAATACAGTGGGTGATTGGTTAATGTAGTGTTTCTTAACAGGGGGGAAAGGCTCCCTGGGGTCCATAAGAAGTTTGTCAGGGTCTGCCAAATTATGCAAAATTTATGCGTATTTGTGTGAAAAAAAGGTTATCAACTATGGTGGATATAAAAACAAAAAACAAAATCGATTGCGATTAGATGTCTGTATGCAGATAGCATTACAAACAATTTAACCAAGAATTAACAAATTAGTTGAGGATATTCAGCAGCAGAAATCTCATTAAATTATTTTCAAATATTTTTTTGCATTTTCTATGAATTTTTAAATGTTTCTTATTTTATTTTTATGTTTAATTGTGAAGTTTGAATGTTATTTAAATAAATAATGAAATAATAGTTATGTTTTACATTTATTTTATATAAAAAATAAAGCAATAATAAAAAAATCAATTTATTATAGATAATTTAACAAATATAAATTATTAAAAAAATGGGGGGTCACAAAAAATTATGAAATATTTAGTGGGCTGCGAGTATAAAAAGGTTAAGAACCACTGGATTAACGGACACTTTAGCAAAAGATTTTTATGTTCGGACAACAAACACAAAAAGAAGCAACATAAAATAATGAATACTGATTGGAATTGTTGCCCGAAGACAAGGGAAAACCAAACTTTTTAGAGCGCGGGAGACATCAGCATTGACGCTCAACCTAGTATATACTGATCGGACAGTATTTCTCCAAACTTTGAAACTCTCCCTTGTAATTCCAGCCTTTTATTTTTCTGACAGAAACAATTTTTTTATAGTATTTGCGAGACTATGAGGCAGACACTTGTTAAATTTTGTGTTGGTTTTTATTTTTGAAAGGTGAGAATGGGCAGAATATGTCTGATGTTGCTGGGCAGTATGGCTTGAACAGGTCTATAGTAGGCTGCAGTTGAATGTTATCTAAGAAAGATACAGTTTAATCAAGAAGACTCAAGCATCTAAAGGAGTAACAAAAATCACATCAGCTCATAATGGAACCTGAAACTGATCTGAAAACAGAAGAACGCCAAGAACTCCTGAATGAAGAACACCAAGAAACTCGGCAAGATATGTTTTCTTCTGGAAGAGAAGATTACCGCAAATATCTGCTATTAAAGATATTTTGAAGAAGTGGGAGGATGTCAGAACAATGGTCTTAGGATGGCATCCAAACCAGGTTGAAGTTACTATGCTCATGGATCTCGCATATTTTGCATTTAAAATTAATAAATATTTGGTATATTTTTTGCTAAAGATACTATATAGATTATCTTTAGCAAAAAATATACCAAATATTTATTAATTTTAAATGCAAAATTTTACTTTATTATGCATTTTTGAATAAACTACCAAATAAATAAACTAAAAACTAATACAGTAGATCCCCCTATAAAACCGTTTCCTATAGTTATGATTCCTATAAAAATTGTGGCATTATCCGTAAACAACGGTAAAAATAACTCCTATAATACGTAAAACGTCATCGGGCAGCCGAACTACTTACCCGCCGTCCGTAGCGCCACGCTACGGACGTTTAGTCGGATAAATTGAGTTTAGTATCGTCTGTTCATATAATTATATATAAATTAGGTACTGTACATATAATTATATATTAATTATATATAAATTAGGTACTGTATATATAATTATATATTAACTTAATTTATTGTAACTTTATTATAATTAAATATATATTTTTCGCCGTCTAGCGTCACGCTACGGCGAGTTAGGCGACCTATCGTCTGTCCAGTACTGTAATTTTATACATTTCTTGTGAAAGAAACATTTCTTATTTAACGGCCATAAAAATTATTTATATTAAGGATGTCTCCAAAGGTCAACGAAGTTTTCGCAGAAAAATAATATCAGAAATCGCGGCCGCGGTTTGATGCGCTGTTCCGCGACGAAACCAAGCTTTAGCAACGGGCGTAGTCGAACGGTACACACTCGGTAAGCAATCCTACAATTTTTTGTTTATAACGTAGTTTATACGGATTATTTTCAAAAAAATATACGTATTTTGGAAATGTTGAGTCGAATTAGTCTAGAATCGATTAATTTTATGAAAGAAAACCTTTCAAACAGCCGTAGTCCGTAAACTATGATTCCTACAAAATTGATTCATAAAGAACAGAACGTATCTACCGTCTTATAGGGGGATCTACTGTATTAGTTTTTAGTTTATTTATTTGGTAGTTTATTCAAAAATGCATAATAAAGTAAAATTTGTTAATTTTTGTTGTTTCATATCCCTATTTAACGAAAGTATCAGCAGTTATGAATTTTTAACTTTTGATAATTTTGAAAAATTAAGTATTTTAAGACTCTTCTTTACATTAGTTCAGTAAATGCTATAATAAATATTTCAATGAATTGAATAAAGAACAAAATTATACAATTAATTTAAATTATACATTTTAAGTTTAAATTTTTATTTATTTTTCCCAGATTAAGGTTTAACTTAAATATAAAATTCATAAATTATTTAATGCTTGATGAATAAACAATTAAAATAATTGAACTTTAGTATAATAATTAATATGGTTAAATTACTCAGTTTATTGAGATAATACATTGTTTCATTATACGGTATTAACAAACAATAAACAAGAAAGAAATCTAATTGTTTATTAAATGTAAAAATTTTACCTTCTAATAATTCTTCGTCATCATCGTCGTCATCATAATCATCATCATCATCATCATTTAAAGAACCAGTACTAGTTGTTGATATGATACTGTTGGTACGACTTGGAGCTGAGACAGCCTGAAGAAAATTACAATATTCTTTAATATATATTCATTATAATATTGTAATACATATATAATAAACCACTGTGTATAGCTAATAATTAATTCATTCCTATAAGTTGTTCAAAAACCAATTTGTTCCCAAACCGAAACAAATTCTTCCATAAGAAACAATACAAAATGGATTAATCTGTTCCCAATTCCGAAAACAAAATCTTTTATTTTTTTACCTTTTTATTATTTTTAGTTTTAATTAACTGGCTATCTAATATTAATAAGTATTAATAAATATTACTATTATAATATATAATAAATTAAATGACGAAAATTTATTAATATAACTTAAGCATAACTTGAATGTCATTTATATTATGTAAATATCAATTAACATGGTTTTTATTAATTAATTTGATTTAAATTCAACTGTGGCACATACCAAAAAATGGAAATAGTATCTTTCCCATATGTGCATTGAAATGTAATTTAAATAGCAACATCATCGATGATTCATCATATACGAGGCCTGTTGCTGATTGGTTGGGCCGTTGACTTTCTTCAACATAAGTAGTATTGGTGGCCGGCACTTGCTGAATAGCTTGTTCAGCAACTGAGTTATTTTATGGCAACCAGGGCAAAAATGAGTTCAAAATTTTGTTTGTAAACTGAATTGTTCAAAAAGCGAGGCATTCGAAACCCAAGATTTCACTGTATTAATATATGAATATATAATATAAATGATAAGCAAATCCATCCAATAAACAAAGTGATAATTACAAATACATCACATTAACCTTGTATAGCTTTGCAGTTACTACTTAGAACGTATCACAAACATTTTCGACCCATTTCTAGGGTCTTCTTCAGGTGTTGTATAAGTTTTTCTGGTGTGATTCTGATTTTTAACCATTCAGGTCTCCAATGCTTCTATCTTCAGAATTATTTTTTCAAAATTTCAAAATTTGAATCTCGAAACAATGTGCGCCTGCACCAGTTGTTATAGCGTTGTGTCATAAATAGCCTGCCATGCTCTTGATAGTTGTTTTTCTTCTTTAAAATTCATTGACAGGCCTTTGCAAGCAGACTGCAAGATCTGAATGGTTAAAATCAGAATCGCACCAGAAAAACTTATAGAACACCTGAAGAAGACCCTAGAAATAGGTTGAAAACATTTGTGATATGTTCTAAGTAGTAACTGCAAAGCTATACAAGGTTAGTGCAATGTATTTATAAATGATAAGGATCCATTTATAATATTCATTAGCACATTCAGTGTTGGTCAAATGTATAGTATGTGCAGGTTCATGCAGCAACCCAAGGATTATGATATGTTTCAAATGGCTCGTGTAAACTAAGAGAGTTTCATGTAAATTTATTATTTTACAACCTTTTGAATCTCAATTAACTGATATTGAAAATTATTGTCATTATCATCACAAATTTGATCAAAATTTTTGGAGATGCTGTCTAAACTATTGAATTCACTTGAATTGCTCCAAAAATAGTTAATTTACATGTTAAATGATAAGTAATGAATAATACCTAGGGTATTGCAGTATTATATTCTCGTGTCCAAAGTGAGCATAATCATCCATTAATTTGGCCCATATCTAGGAACTACTGATCAGAACAGCATGAAACTTAACATATAAATAGAGCATTGCATTCTTCACACAAAACAAAAATCTAATTTGAATTAGACCTATATGAAACTAAAAACAGTAAGAAGTAAACAATAAAAGTATTAAGCATTATTGTAAATCTTTTTGCACAGAAAATGACTAATATGGTATGTGGTTGCCTTTTGCATGCACACACACTACACAGCAATTGCTCATTGCAGTTATAAAGCCGTTTATCAGCTCTGTCAGAACAAAGTATATTCTTGAACGAGAGCATCTTAAAACTGCTGGAGTGTTCTAAATGGAGACTGATAGAATGGAACTTGTCTTCCTAGAGCATCTCGTACACATTTTATGGGATTTGAGGTCTGGAGATTTTGCTGGCCATCCCTTCTGATGAATATTTTCACTGTTAAGAAAGTTATTGATGAATACATCAGCCTTATTTGAGATATGGAGTCATATTTTTATAACTTTGACATCTTGTAGCTGCAGCAGCATAGTTACATGATCAATAATTTTTTATACTAAGTAAGAATCTCTCTGCACAGCATGATAATCTTATCTTATTTTTTTTTTCATTAAAAAAACAATTAAAAATTTGTACTTGACATGGTTTCCTCTATAGTCTAACTGTTATTAATAAGGCAATGAGACATTGCGTGTAAATTCTACTTTTATTTTTTTTTCAGTACATATTTAGCATTTGTAAATACAGATTTTAATCTTTATTCAGTTATCACTAATTTCAATGTTAGCAAATAAGTTATGATAGAAGGAATGATGCTCTTTGGGCACAACCAGATAATGAAAAAAACTCATTCATGGGTGGTAGCCATTAACGGTGGCTTCAGGAGGAATGTTATTACTTCCTTTCCCTGTTTAAGTGGGTTAAATTCAATGTCATAATTTCCTGTCATTGTTTGTTTCTCTAGCCAAAATGGTTTTTGAGCACTTCTGAAATAATAAGCTTCTCAACTTCATTGTAGCCAAATTTTTACATGAATCTTTAGCTTTCATGACAGTTTGCAGATTTTTTTCCTCCTTCTTCTGAAAAGTTGTAGACTTTGGCCACCAGCAAGTCAAGAATCTGATGCTCCAAACACTATATTAAAAGGCTTGTTGCACTTGACATTTTTCATAGCTTTCACCCATTCTGCAGGAGTGTAAACTGATTCTATTTTTCTTCTTTTCCTTTCAATTAACCCAAAGTCCCTGTCACAGAGTAGGCAAGAGTGACCAAGAATGGGATAGATGCCAATTTCTTCAAATTTCTCACAGGTTAAGTGATAAAAAAAAAAAGCAAGCATTGCTCTATTTTTGTTTTGTCTAGCGCAATTGTCAGCAAACACATAAACTTTTGTCACAGTTTCTGGGATACAGTTAGTAAGATAATAGTATAAAAATGAGCAAACAGTGTTTGCATCTTTTGGTGCATCATTCTCACAAAATGTAAATAATGTAGCTTCTCCTGTTTTAAGGTTATGTATGCCAAATACCATCTGCCAAAGCTGACGCATGTAATAGACTTTCCCTGATGTTAGATGGGGCAAATGCACATTATTTTCAAAATCAAAAGCAAGAATAACAGTATTTTCATCATTTTCATGCTTTTTCTGCATTTCATACAACTCATTCACAGTCTCACATGGTTTTGTATCCTGTTTGATTTTTCTAAGCAAATCAATTTGTACTCAAAATTCATTGCATGTATCACAAGTGTCTGATTATGGATAGCCAAAAGAAATTGTACTGGAAAACATAGAAATCATATGTGGCATTGACATTTGAATATTTTTCTTTGAATGCTTTGTGCATGTTCTTAACAGTTAAATCTGGAGAAAGGTATTTTCTCATTAGATTTTTTTTCTCTGCTGTAATGTGATTCTCGGACTGGAAAACTGTTGATATGTTCCATTACTAAATATCTCGTTTCTTCCTTTACTTGATTATGAGCATTGTGCTTTCCTCTACCATTGGGCTTCCTTCCGTTTTAATCAAGCTTTCAAGTCTTCCACGTTTTATGTCAATACGTACCAGAAATGTTATGAACTTTGTTCTTTCTTCAAGAAAGTTTGGGAACTGCTCATTGATTGAAATAATTGAATCATCACCAAGAAAAAGGGTAACCCATACAAAGTAAGAGGATAAGAACACAGACCTGATTATCATTAAAATAAAAAAAAAAAAGATAACGTGGTCTATTGATCACACTAATAATATATCAATTTCAACACATTCTAATAACTATATCTTTTATGAGTTGAACTTACTATGGAAATTAAAAAAATACAATATAATTTAAATATTCTTAACTTATTACTATTATAATAATTGATGAAATTTCCAAAAATAGATAAAATACATACTTTATTTTTTAATGGTAATGCAGGTGTGAGAGGTGTTCTCAGTTTCTTATTTTTTATTAAAATTCGATATTTCAATTGGTTAGGAGATGGTAATATAGGATCATCTGAATAGTCAGATTCGAAAAGAAAAGTAGTAACTAATTTCTCTCCAAATACAGACTGTAAAAATAATAATATAAAAATTATTTACTGATATAATTATTTTAATTGTATACTTTATAAATATTTTATTTATGAAAATGTGAANGTTTCTTCAAAATTAAGCCTTTTGCCATTTTATTATAATTAAAACATAGTAGGGCCTGCCATATTTGATCAATATATTCCAGACTCCTCATGTAATTTACATAAAATAGCAAACTATGTTAATTATTAAGTATTTCCTACATTCACATACTCATATCGCACTTATTTATATAATAAAGTAAATAAACACTATATTAACAATAAATAGCATGATACTGTAAATCATAAAAATAACTTTAAAAATTTTAATACTTTCCTTCTCTCTCATGTTTGCAAAGTAATTTGTGTACATGCTGCAAAGAAAAGCACTGATATTATGTAGACAGGATGTGTTACAAACAAGTGTAAAGTGTTAAAAAAAATTTAGAGCTTTCTCTTTTATAACTTATCTCCCATCAGTTCCTAAGAATCTCATACTTTTCCCAAAGGAGTTATCAATAAATTATCCACAATTGAGGAAATTTACGTACCATGTGGCACACAAAAACTGATGCGGTGTTTAGTGCAAAGCAAAGAAATTAGTCACAGAAATGCTTTCCCAGAATGAGAACAAGTATGAGTGAGTGAGAACTGCTATTAGACTTCATGCATTTTGAAAAATGATACAAATTTAGTATGAAATTAAAAAATTCTAATTTACATATTTTCCATTTATTTGCAGATTGCCAATAGCATAAACCTGAAACTACACATGGTAAGTCTGCATATGACAAGGTCCTACTATAAACTGTTCTTTTATTTTACTAGTTTAATTTTGTGTGTTATATAGCAACTTTTATATTTTATATTCTTCAAAATTAATGCTAGACACCACTCTTATAACACCAATGCACATTAAACTTATAATAAAATACAGGTTTTCATTGAAGATGCATCAATATAAAATGATGCATATTGACAAACAACACTAATGAAATGGAAGAAATGCTCTTTTCTCTCATCAATCTTACCTAATTTACTCTAAGCTAGATCTCATGGCATATAAATATGTAATACATATGATGTGTAAAAGATTTTTCATGTTTTTTTAGATATTTTTGATGAGTTTAGACAAAGGTTAAAGCTGTTTAATGTATTTATAATTGCAAGTTAAAATGGGCAGAAAACCTGCACTCACTTTCAAATTAACTTCCAAACACAGATAACCTGTGGGTTCTCCATATGGAATTACAGTATATAAAACTCCAAAACAAAAATTTTTCTTTTTAAATTGGTGAGTAAATTTAAGATGAATATTTCTACTCTTTTTTTACTAATGTATAGTATTCAGATATTACCATATATATATAATTGTATAATGATTCGGTAACATGGTTTTACTGCTTTTATTTTTCCAGCCTTGTTATATATAACAGAGGAAAAGTATGGCATTCAGAAAAAAAAGATAGTTTTACATTTTTTAACTCATGGGACTTTGAAACATCAAGAAAAACAAAAAAAATTTGGGGGTTTTTTCTCTATGTATGTACGGATGTTAGTGTGTGTATGGGGAGGCCATGATTTTGTTCACCTTCTTTGAAGCTTAATAACTTCTGTGCTTTTCATTGAAAATTTCTGAAATTTTGCAGGGAGGTTTATTTATTAGAGGGATCAATGCTATTAAATTTTGGTGGCTAAAGGCCAAGCGGGTGGGGAGATAAAGAGGATTGTCTGTCATATCTCTAGTAGGGTCAGACTTAATGACAATTTTACTCATTATTAGCATTTACAAATTTTTATAAAGCCCATACCTACCCTCAAAATTAAGCTTTTTGCCATCTTATAATAGTTAAAAATATAAAAGGCTTTTTTAAAAAAATATCATAACAGATGGTGGCACCAAATGTTAACAAGAAATTTAAGCTACTCATTGCTGGATTTTTTAGAAGTGGACTATGATAAAATAAGTAAAATTAGGGATATGGGTATTAATATTGTAACAAGTGCAACTAGTGATAAAGAACCAAAAGAATTATTACTAGCTTTTAGATTTCCGTTTTTACTTTCCCAGCTCTGTTATACACAGGACATTTATAAATGAATGGTGAAGTTTTAAAAATTAAATTTTGGTGGTTAAAGATTGATGGGATGGGGAGATAAAAGGGAGTCACGTGTCATATTTTGAGTAGGGTCGGACTTAATGATTTTACTGGTTATTAGCACTTACAATTTTTATTTTTATAAAATTCATCTCTACCCTCAAAATTAAGCTTTTTGCCATTTTATAATAATCAAAAATAAAATATCATAATAGATAGCACCAAATGCACAGTTTTGAATGTTGTCAGGAAAGTTAAGCAACTCATTGCTGGATTTTTTATTATGTAATAAAAGGTCCTTGGTGACAACCACTTAGGAAACCTTTATTCACAGTGACTTCCTTTTACTCTCCTCTCTTCTAGTGCTAACCTTCCATTAGACAAGTTATGTAATCTTCTAAGTTTATGTAACCTTGTTCTTTGTTAACATAACTGGTTCTATCAGAATCTCCAACAACCTTAATAAGTCTAACACTTTTTTTTTTTTTGGTCTTAAAAATAAGAAAATAATAAAGGAAATCTTAACAGCTATATATAACAAGTAGTAATGCTTCAAATCTAAATTCTAAATTTCAAATCTAAATTCATTATTGACACATATTAATGTTTTTATATTTTTATTACAAATTATAAAACTAACAATGTAAAGTATAAAATACAATGAATATGAAATTATAAGTTATTCTTACTGTAAATATTTTTGCCATTTTTGCTTGCTGTTGTATAGAGCAATGATTTTCAATTGACAATATTACTGGATAAGGAGATGTAACAAAGGCACTTTTATTAATTGCTTCAACAACATTCTGTAAAAGAAGACAAAATATTAATTATTATTAAATCTTCATTTTATATGACTGTTTGATATAATTAATAATTTATAGTGGATGAGATTAATTGATAACTAATTTAAGAAAGATTAACAGTGGACTAAAACATCATTAAAATACATTCTGTAAATGGTTCTACCCAACTTATTTTCAATTTAACATTATGAAAATAAAACAAATATTCATTACANGAGTGTCCTGGGATGGCACCACTGCCCTGCTTATGCTCAACTCTCTAGCGAACGGTGTTTGAGTAAACTTTTTTACCCGTGCTTGTAGTTTGTTGACGAATCCATCATCGATAGGTTCACACTCCGTATCATTGATGTATTTTTGCATCATCGAAACGTATGTATTTCTCTTTAATAACACTAGAGCCTTGCTTTTATCAGCCTTGAGAACCACTATGTTATTATCCGCTAACCATTTTTTGGATTTGTGAATCTGCTTCCAATTTCTTTCGTCTTGTATGCTGTTGTTGGCATGTTGTATCTTGAATGCTGACTTCCATCTGTAGTATTCTTTGTGCACTTCGCTCATCCCCGTCATCAAATAAAACAAATATTCATTACATGGATTGAGTTTAATTAGCAATATGAATTATTCAATTTTAAAAAAATACAGGTCAATTAAAAAATGAAACAATTTCATATGCTTATTAAAAACAATCAAGAAGCAACAAGGTTTTAAACTTTGAGTACCAACATTGAGTGCTTTAATGTTGTGTGACACCAGTGACATATCCAGAATTTTGAAAATATGGGTGCTACTCAAGGCAGATTTGAGGACCAAGGCATATGCCCCTGCTGTTCATCAAAGAATATTACTCAATTATGCTAGAATTATTTTAGTTACATAATCTTGCCTAATTGAACTCATATGATATGTTTATTTTTATTTCAAAGTAACAAAACTGATTGCTTTGGTATCAAGGGGTTTCTGCAGCACTATAAGCACCCCCTGAATATATCCTTAGTGGCACATAAGTCAATTGAATTCTATCCACACCTTGTAAGGCAAGTCTCTCTTTATGATTATTATTGAGGTAACAATTTGTTGCCTTAATTCCTGAAGATCTATTGGCAGAGATGAACTATAGATGATATCTTTCACATTTTCAAAAAATAAGTCTCATACAGGTTATTCTTATACAAATAGCTTTTACAATTCCAGATCTCACCTTGTCTGATTTCTTTCTCTTAGACATATAAAGGTGCCACCTGTGAGTCATCTATGCCGTAGTCTTCAAAGCAGTAATATGTAGACAGAGAGACTTGATAAATAAAGTATAGGTCAAATTTAATTTGACTTGAAGTATGCCACATGTAGGAATGTCCCAATACTGTCGATACCAATACCGTATTGATACTTTACTTTGGATATTGGATCGTGTATCATTACATTTTTCACAGACAGGTAAGATCCAACTGAAACTGGATTTTGCAGTTAAATGAGAAACTGAAATGGAATTTTACACAATTTTCAGTTATGTTAAACTTATAAGAAAAATATTTAGTTAAACATTATGCTGTACTTTGTTTTTTAATTAATCAACTTGGACCATCAGTGATGTTCAAAATGAGTTAATATTTGTATATACTTGTTTACACTGATATTTGTAAAATTTGAACACAATACAGAACTTTCAATGTAAGGACATTGTTTTACCTCTTCAACAATTTCTTATCTATATCCCATGTATACAGTAGTATCCACAGAGCCTGTACTATAGATCTGGGGATCCTTTTCTATATATAAGACATCATACTAGTGTAAATTGAAGTACTGACTGATGCACTGACTTCTGAACCAGATAGCTATGATTCAATTCTCTGACATAAGCAATAAAATATTAATTGCTGCTCTGGGGCCCACTCAGTATTCATTGTAATGAGTACAGTACCTTATCAGCAGTAAATGCAACTGAAAGGCAATGCGACAGACTGGATGGTGACAGCTGGCAAAATTTCCAGTTTCAATACCCAAAGCCGATACTGGCCAGTTTTGATACTTTTATGGTATCAGGACATTCCTAACCATATGACATCAAGTGCTTACACTGAGTGTTTGTAATTTTAAGATTTGAAACTTATTTAATTACTATAATAAAATTTCATAATATTGCACAATTGTAAGCTCACTGATTATTTCTTAATAAACATGAAATTGCATCAATATTTCTAAATGTTTTTGAATAACACTGGCAAACTTCTTGAGGTGACAAAGTTGATCCCCTTGGAACTATCTTACTAATAAATCCTGGGATAGAAATGCTTCTTTAGGATTCTAGAAATTACTAAAGTTGTTTATGCTGTCCATGTTAACAGGCAACTTACAACATACAGTAAAAACATGGGCAAGTGTAACATGATTTATCTCAATTCCCACACTTTTATTCTGCTCAATTGCAAATTCTTTGTTTTCAGGATTACAAGAATTGTTCAGTTTTTTTATTCTTAACTCAAATATATGCAGTGCATTGATGATGAGTGGTGTGTTGGATACTTTCAGAAATGCCAGGCATTTCTGAAATTAATGTTTTCAGCAGCAATTATCTGAACCAAGAAAGCTGAAACTCAGAGTTTTGTAGACTAGTTCTTTCATGTGTCCCCATAAAAAAACACAGTGGTGTTAAATCTAGAAATCTTGCAAGCCATGTAACAGGTCCACCCAGTAATCCATTAATCTCTGAAGTATTCCCTCATATCCATGATACAACAATATATGCTGAAGACATAAAGTGAGACATTTTTCAGAAATTTTGACAGTTTTTCTTTCAGGAATATCATTTAGATACAATTATTCAGATATGGGACAACAAGAATAGTACAATCAAATGCAGCTGGTGATACTAGTTCCTTTGTTAATGCTGAATGTCCATTGGTAACAGTTATGTAGAGATTTTCCTTATATCACATATGAATGAATGAAATCTCTCTTTTGTATGAACAAAGCCCACCCATGAAGAGCACTATACTACAAAATTGTGATCATAAGGCACTCTGTTGCCTTATGTGAATTACACCAGATAGAGGAAATCCATGTTCATACAAACTTTTTCTCTACAAAATGGGTATACCTACTATCAGTCACACAGAATATTCCAAGCAGAGGAAGTAGTTGCAACTTATCATGTGAACAATGGTACTTAATATCAAGTGCTTGAATGTTAATTAATATAGTAAGTGTCTTCTGGGAAACATTCCACCTAAATACTTTACCTCTCTTTTCCATTATCTCAACTAGCATAATAAACATGTTGGCTCATTAACCCAAGTGTATTTCTCCATCATACAAATCTAATGAACATCTAGCACCTCGATTGACTAATGACTTTAATCCCCTTTAGTATCTTAAAGAGGAATTTCTGCCTCACAGTTTATTAGCAAAAATTGACCCACTTAGTACTATTTACCTTTACCCTTACCTAAACGTAATAGACAAATATTATCTTTAAAAGTTTGTTGATGTCATTCAAAAACACCTTGTATATAGCATTTATAAGTATTCTATATATAGCAGAAAAGATGAGGAGGAGAAGTATGATAAATCTGGATAATTCAGAAACTTCAAAAATCATCATCGTATTGAAATGATTGAACTAAGAATCAGAGCTGCGAAGTCAGTAAATAAACACTTGACTCTGACTCCTGATAATTTTAGTAGTCTGACTCCCAACTCCAACAAAATTAAATACCAAGCCATTTTATGGGGGGCAGAGGCACTCATGAGGGTACCCTACACTGAAGCTGGGGCATTTACCCAAATACTTTTAAAGTTAGTATTTTTAATATTTAACTTAATTTTTTTTATACAAATAAATATTAATGTAACTTTTAACAAATATTTAATAAGAGAAGAAAGAGGTGATAAAATTCTACATCTACATATATTTGACAGCACTTGCATTCAATTTCACCCTTCTAGAAGAGTTAGTCCAACTAAAAAGTGTGTGATCTAGCTAGCTACTTCAGCCCCTTGTTCAGAAAAGAAAAATATACACTCTGATCAATTAGTCTGGCTCATTCAGAAAAATAAAGTACTTATTTCAACAGGGATGATTCAAAAATATTCAAATTCAATTGGGTCAAAATAATTTAACTACTAAACATAAATACTACAAAGAATACTACATATTTAATAAATTAAATTGATGCATTTTGTATTTAAAATGAATGAATTATAACAAAATACAAAAAGATTTTAAAAAATTAATAAATATGTAATAAATTTTCTTTCATTTAATTAAAAAAAAACTAAAGTAAATTTAAAATATGGGAATCAGAGTCGACACATTTTTTCTATTCTTAGCAGGGCTGTGGAGTCAGACAGTAGTGTAGACATGACAATTGTCAACTTCTTGCAAAGTAGTTTCTTCTTTTTTCTAACTAGCCAATCAGCAGAGAGAGTTTCATTTACTAGTTATTTATTGGATTGAACACCAAACATCCTGATCCATTTGATGACAATCCAGAATAGAGCCAGTAGCTTAAATGAAGGTTTGTCTTCTTGTTTATTATGTGCTCGACTAATAAATGCAACTGTAGCTATCAATGATTGACTACTTATAAAAATTTCAATCTGCCATGAATGACACAAGAATTTGAAAATAATTAGAAGGTGAAAAGGTGCAAAACCACAGGTAGGACAATTGTGGAACTGAATGAATATACACAGAACTGTTTTTGGTCAATCTTATCACACGATTTATCTTAGAGCATCAATAAATGTCATTTCTGCTAATTATAGTTGTATAGTGTATGTGTTTCTTACAGACTGATATGAACAGATGCCTAAGTGAACTCCTACAACGGCAAGTTAGCCAACAGAGAAATTTTGCTGTCATAATAAAATTGCGCAGTCAAATCAGTTTTAAGAACTCAACAGTTTTNTAATAGCAGTACGTAAGAAATAACCGCTGACAAAGAATGAAGTAGAAAAAGCGAACCGAACACGTGGGAGATGGTGCAAAAGACCGAAAATTCGGGCTCCAATAACCCAGGCAAAAGTCCACCAAATTAAAAGATACTAGTACCTACGGAGAGCGCTTGTCTTCCTGAAATCAACGATGTGTTATACTCCGCAGTAATCCACTTGGTATTAAAAAAAAATGACGATCAAACCCGGAGCACATGTAAGACACAACATAGCACTTCCGACCCCTAACGGTCCCGGAGCAGCGCACCAAACGGCGGGCGATTTCTGACAAGTTATTTTTCTGAGAAAACTTCGTTGAACTTTGGAGACATCATTAATATAAAAAATTTTAATCGCCGTTGAATAAGAAATATTTCTTTCACAAGAAATGTATAAAATTACAGTGCTGTATTAGACTTACGGTACCTAACTTACATACTGTACAGACGATAGTAAACAACTTACTTGCCTAAACTCTCCGTAGCGTGACGCTGGACGGGGGATAATTATCATAAAGTTACAATAAATTAAGTTAATATGTAATTATAGATACAGTACCTAATTTATATATAATTTATACTGTATATAACACTGTACAGTACCTAATTTATATATAATTTATATATAACACTGTACAGACGATAGTAAACTCAATTTACCCGCCTAAAATCTCCGTAGCGTGGTGCTGGACGGCGGAAAGTAATTCGGCTGCCCGATGACGTTTTACCGAATTATAGGAGTATTTTTACCAGGTTTGTACGGATACCGTCGCAATTTTTTCGTCGTCTTATAGGAATCGTAATTATAGGAACCCGTGTTATAGGGGGGTCTACTGTAAATGCAATACCAGATTTAGAATTATTACAACGTTACGAATTACGTATAGCAGATAATTAGACATGGATTATAAACGGCCAAAAGCTCGTGAAGACTTGGCACAAATTATTTGAAAAGGCGCGTAGAGACTCAGCGTGTTTCACGATTGATGCGATTGAAAATTAGAAAAAACACTGAACGTAAAACCTAAAATACAAAAATACAAAGAAAACACAGAACAAGACGAAACGTAAGTCTATCAAGTGCAACAAGTTTACGTATCTCCACCATAACACAGCTACGTGTAAGTTAAATACTCGAACAGATCTGAAAACTTTATTTTATAATTTATTTTCTGTAGTTTTTGCAACTTATTATTCTGTAAAATAGTCTCTAAAAATGATGTTTAGAACTCTGTTGACTTTTAAAATTAAAGTAAAACTATAAAATACTGCAACATTTAATTTTTCTTTATTATTGCTCAAATAACGTTAAGAAGGAACAAAACAATTGCAACACAATCATCATAATACATAGCCATACTACCTATGGGCTATGAAAAAGTGAAACGAGGTTTGCATGATCAAAATATCAANACTATACAAGAATACTACATATTTAATAAATTAAATTGATGCATTTTGTATTTAAAATGAATGAATTATAACAAAATACAAAAAGATTTTAAAAAATTAATAAATATGTAATAAATTTTCTTTCATTTAATTAAAAAAAAACTAAAGTAAATTTAAAATATGGGAATCAGAGTCGACACATTTTTTCTATTCTTAGCAGGGCTGTGGAGTCAGACAGTAGTGTAGACATGACAATTGTCAACTTCTTGCAAAGTAGTTTCTTCTTTTTTCTAACTAGCCAATCAGCAGAGAGAGTTTCATTTACTAGTTATTTATTGGATTGAACACCAAACATCCTGATCCATTTGATGACAATCCAGAATAGAGCCAGTAGCTTAAATGAAGGTTTGTCTTCTTGTTTATTATGTGCTCGACTAATAAATGCAACTGTAGCTATCAATGATTGACTACTTATAAAAATTTCAATCTGCCATGAATGACACACGAATTTGAAAATAATTAGAAGGTGAAAAGGTGCAAAACCACAGGTAGGACAATTGTGGAACTGAATGAATATACACAGAACTGTTTTTGGTCAATCTTATCACACGATTTATCTTAGAGCATCAATAAATGTCATTTCTGCTAATTACAAGGTCTGTTCAGAAAGTATCGGACCTTTGGTCGGCAAAAATAAATTTATTGACTTTGAGGTACAAAACCCTAATCCCCTTCAAAGTAGTCTCCTTGGTAGTGTATATACTTCTCCCAGCGTTCCTGCCATTGCTGGACACACTGCTGGAACACATCTTTTGGAATGGTTATCAGCCGGTCCATCGCATTTCGCACGATGTCTTCTCTCGACTAAATTTAAGTTCCTTTTAGCGGCATTTTCAGCTTGAGAAATAGCCAAAGGTCACACGGAGCCAGGTGGAGAGAGTACGGAGCGTGACGAACCACAGGAGTATTGTGTTTGGCGACGAAAGCCCGAATCAGATGCGCAGAATGGGCGAATGCGTTATCACGATGGAGCTGCGAAGTTTTGATCGACCACAGATTTGGTCGTTTGCGTCGCACTGTATAGGAAAGACGACGAAGGACCTACTGGTAGTACTTCTTTGCGATGGTTTGGCCTTGTGGTGCGTACTCACGACACACCACCCCATGAGAATCGAAAAAACTGTCAACATGACCTTTGATATTGCTGCGGAACGGCCGCGCTTTTTTGGCCTCGAGGATCGTCCCCGAAAGCCTGCTGAATCTTGCGAATGGTTTACACTCGGGTATCGCCAAGGTTTTTGGCAAAATTTGATGTAATATCGCTGCTCACGTTGTTCAGTCATTTTCCAGCTTAGTGAAATCCGACGAGAGCGCACTACATGACCTCACTCATACGCCGAGTGCCAACGACTGACGCTTCCTGCAGGCGGGAAAAAATTCAGGGCTGTGCATGACTGTCCCCTCCACAACTCCACCGAATGAGGCCTGTCGCGCATCATTGGTTTACGCGGAAAAAAAGAAGGTCCGATACTTTTTGAACAGACCTTGTATAGTTGTATAGTGTATGTGTTTCTTACAGACTGATATGAACAGATGCCTAAGTGAACTCCTACAANTTTGGTCGTGCCTACAGTGGCTAGCCACTGTAGTCGTGCCATGAAAGGTTTCTATTATTATATTAAAAAATTAGCTTAACTATTTCAAACCTTATCGTTTTATCGTAGCGGTTCAAATCTATCCGGTTTTTCGTTATTCGCCCCCTAGTGAACATTATAGGCATTCCGTTACAATAATAAATTCATATTTAAATTCAGTCCATGCATACCTGATATTTTACAGAAATTCACTTTATTTTTAATTCGATCAATCCATTTGCAGCGCAGCAGTGGCAGCTTTACGTTCCCCCACAGTGCCGTATTTCTTTGGTCGTGCCATGAAAGGTTTCTATTATTATATTAAAATATTAACTTAACTATTTCACTTATCGTTTTATCGTAGCGGTTCAAATCTATCCGGTTTTTCGTTATTCGCCCCCTAGTGAACATTATAGGCATTCCGTGACAATAATAAATTCCTATTACAAATATACTGAATTATTTATATTGTTATATTGACCAAATAATAATTTATTGGCCAAATGAAAAATAATAATTTATATTGTTAATTTAAATAATAATTAAAATTGTTAATTTAATTTGAATGTTTGAAATATGACACACGATAGGGGCGCCTCTAGTGTCGGTTATCAAACGGTTACGGGACGGACGGACGGAAGGAAGGACGGACACCTGTTGAATGGGTTATATATATAGATTGGGACCTCTGGCCCCTAAACTTTCCATGTATTATCTTAGGGAACAGAGAACATAGTTAGATTAAAACTAACTCCATTCTCAAGATTAATGAAGGACAGATGGACAACAGTGGAAATGTATAGATCTGAAGTTTGGAAACTGCAGCCCAACAAGGAAATTGACTTGATGAGAATCTACTATATCTATTAAGATAGGTTTATAGATCAACCATAGTGCAATTAATGTGTCAGTAATCATAATGAAGATTTTCTATTTAAGAGAAATCAATTCTAATAAAGTTAGATACTTTTTTACACTAGACCATAAAAATTTTCAGTTATGGAGGAGTGTTTACTTTAGAGAAGTAACTATTAAAAGGCATTTTACTGTATAAATATTTGTTAAATATAAATAATTGTCAAAAAATTAATGATGCTTTTACAATATACTAAAAAAGTATTATAAAAAAGAAATATATAACATGA